TTTCCTCGTAGACTGGCAAGCTCCAGCCCGGTCATGAGATTGGCTGCCTCATGACGGAGAAAACGAAGTTGATGCACGGATTTTGAAACGCAGGAACTGCTGCCCGCACCCTCTGCAGCTCCGCGGGGTCTCAGCGCCTGATCCAAAGGAGCCACGGTGGTCCTGGCCTCGGAGCGGGGTGCATCCAAATGGAGAAGAAGCTGAGAACAAAGTCAGACTCACGGGAAGTTGCAGAGGTTTCTCTGAGATGTTGCCATCATTAAGAACACCTTAGTCTGTTGTGCCATTTTTTCTTAACTGTTAAAGAGTTGCTTTTGCGGTGACTTTTGTCCTTCCCCTCTTTTTCTTCCCATAGTGTAATCCTTCAAAAAACTCCAAATCATCTATGAGAAAATGGAGTCAACGTGTCATTCAGCATTAAAAATCTAGGGGCTTTAAATAAAAGCTTTAATTGCTATCCTGGCCCCATTATAACCATGGGAACGACATACTCTGTTGGAAACTCAGAAATGTTACATATCGCTTTAGCAGGCGCTGCCCTTGTTTGTTTACTGTAGCTTACTTTCATTTATATCCCAGGAATATTATTTCACTAGGCTACACACGAAAAGACAAAGGGTGTAAATAAACTAACATATGGCCCAGAGGTTTTAGAGGAGCTGGAGCCGCTTAGCAAGTCATGTGGGTGATACTGGGAATCCGTCTTCTGTCCTTCCCCTGCTCCCTCATAACCTCCTTCTCTCTGCGTATTCCTTCTACCTTGTCACGATAAGTCACGTTTGTGTCGCGACCGGCTTTGGAGCACCAGATGGTTTTTCCTTCCGACTGCAAAAATCTGGGCAGCGCAGGGGTGGGAAGGGATGGACGCAGGTCCGTGTGCCTGTGTCTCTACGTGCAGCTGGAGAGAACCAGTTGACATAACAAATGTGTGTGGGGATGTGTGTGCACACGCACACCAGCCCCGGACACGGTCGCTCCCGGGTGGGGGGCCCGGCCCCGGGAAGGGGCTCCGGACCGAGCCGGGCCGTTCCGAGCTGGGCAGCCCCTTGGAGAGGGCGACTGGCGAGGAGCCGAGCAGGGTCGAGCAATCTGGCGCCCACAGAGACACTTGACAATCTTTTTTTTTTCTGTTGTCGTTATTTTCAATTGTAGTCAGTTTCAGGATTTCTTTCCCAAAAAGCCCAACCGGAGTTGAGCCCCGCTCCGTCTGGGAGGTGCAGATGGTTTAACCACGCTGCACCTCCTTCCCTTCCACTTCTCCCGGTAAGGTGGCGGAAACGGGTCTCGGTTACTGATTCATATTTCTAATCTTCCTTTCCTGAGCATACAATGTGCTTTTGTTAAATGAATGGTCTTTAATTAATGCACTTGCACAATGCAGGGCCTTGCATGGGGATCGATGATAGGAAGCAACAGGGGATGGTTCCCTCCAAAATGGTTTGTCAGCATTGAGAAAGAAAAGGCAATGTCTATAAAAGGGCCACTAATAATGCCCACACGTCTCTCACCATGTTGTCTGAGGGGACATTCCTTCCCTTGTTGACAGTCAAGTGTAATAAGTACATGTCTTCGCTCAATCATTATAGACCATAGAATTGTATTCTTTAATTAGCATGTACTGTTAGCTCTCCTTTCCTTTATGGGCCAGTTTTTGTCTTTTACAGACTAGCAAAAATGTTTGCCTTCATTTATTTTTCTTGAATTCTATTATTTCTTAAATTATTTTCTTTCTTTCTCTCTCTCCCTTCGTGTAGTCAAATGTATTCTCTATTGACAATATTCCTGGCAGCTAAAGCCAACTTTTTGTCATCTCTCTGTGTTAGGCAACTTCTTTCAAGTTTTCCTTTTCTAAAAGGAATCGAGGCAGCGCATGCGCAAGGCGCCCGGCGGGTTCGGGCCGCGGTGTGCCCGGGGCTGCTGCATCCCTCCGAACTGCAAAGCTGGCGTTTGTCATGCGAGGGGAGCTCCGAGCAGGTTCAGGAGCTGCGAAACCCTGGAACCTATTAACATCCATCAGGAGAATACGCAAGGCGAAAAAGGCTTACTTTCAGATTACTTTAGCTGGCGAAAGAATTCCATCTCTTAAAAAAAGAAAAAAAAAACGCGCTAAATCCTACTAGGAATCTTATAAAAGGGTTTTATTTCTCTGTGACGGCGACCCATTCTGGACGGGTGGGAGGGGGGAAATTCTTCAAAAGAACACTTGCATCCTGCGAACCAACAACCCTTGGGGCTGAGGGGAGCAGCAGCCTCCCGGGGTGGCCCCGCTGAAAAATCACGCCAAAGCCCCGAGTGTTGGTGCCCAGTATCCCACTGTTGGTGTCCCCAGAGCCGCACGGTGCCCGTGAGGGGCTAGGGTGCCACTGCGGAGGTAACCGGGACAGGCACCCACCCTCCAGAGGGACAGGGCTCCACCTGGATGACACGGGCTCTGTTTCTGCACACTGTGCCTTGGTCAATGCCTAAAGTAAAATTGGTTTGAAGTCTGCGATCTGAAAAATGTTGTCTCAGAAATTAAACCAGAGAAGGGGGTTGTTTTGTTTTGTTATTTTAATGGAAATGCCAACCTAAAACGATTAACATTAAAAAAGGTTAAAGACCAACAAAAAAACCCACCCATTAATACTTGATTGTACACCACATTAATAGTACACAGGTTTGGGCAAATTTTTTTTCAACTAGTATAAAAACCAACAGAAAGAGAAGGTTGAATACACAGTGTTTTAGGAATGGCTCGGTATCATCAGTACAAACACATTTTAAAAGTGCACATTTGTAAAAATAACCATATAAATGAAATGCTTATAAATATTTATTGTAAAAAAAAAATCCAAATATTAAAAATAAATAGTATGTTCAAGCACACAACAGAATATTCCTTCATTGTCAAACACGTGATAAAGAAAAATAAGGAATATAAGAAGTCTGGAAAGAGATACAGCATACCAACATTGTAAATGTTTTTCTGAAAGCTACATTTTTCAGATGCTTCTTCTCTGTACAGCTCACAAGGAATGTGCTGGATTTTTTCATAAATATGACAAGACCAAAAAATAATAACAATAATAATAGTAATACCCACTCCACTCTAATTTGACTCTGTCTTTACTCAGAAAAGGTCCCATTAAATAAATGGTTTGGCTTAGAATGGCAGGATTGGGCTCAGGTAATTCTTTAACAACTAAAACAGAAGTACAGATAAGTTACAACTTCAAGGAATTCATATTCCGAACAGGGCATTGCATGATATCCAGTGGGAAACTACTAAATAAAACTTGATCAGGGAATCATTTCAGTACAACACCATTGTGTTTATAAAATGAAGATACAAAAGGGATGCAGTTCGACTATCCTTACACGTACAGACAATAAAACATGAGAGCATATGGAAGCCATCACTTTGAATGCGTTAACAACTTCGATACATTGCAGTATATACATGCTTGATAGGTATTCGGACTGTTAAATGATCAAAGAATTTACTCTATGTCTACGCTCTTGCTTTCACTCTACTGGAAAGAAAACATTTTTTGGTCACAAAGTGGTGTTAATGAAACCCAATGTTTCTGCCTTTACCCAAGAATCGCATTCTATGCAGTGTGTGTGCAGGAATAATTTATTAGAAGGAAAAGTTTGGAGGATGAAATGCAAAAACAATGGACATAATTTCAACTTTCGATCTGTAAGGTCATACAGACATCTATGGACATCTGTACACAAGTCAGAGTTTCACGCAGACACAGCCACATATATCCAGATGTATGTCTATACACAGGATTCGATAGTTTGGTATTTTCTGCACCCTCTGGGCCCCTAAAGTTATCTTTAAAAGTTTGATTTTATCTCTTTAGAAACGGTTTAAAGCTAACGGGCAGGGTGAGTTTGACAGAGAGGAGAACAAATCGCTGACAAAGAACCTTTTACGTTTCATCAGCGTTGTTAGGACGACGAGCAGGAATTTCTCAGATAATAACTCCCACTTCAAAGATTTCTCAGCTCAATAGAAATTGGACCATCCTTTTTATTCAACCACAAGGGCTGGCACTAAAGACGACTCAACTGTTTGAATTTTTTTCCCCCGTGTTTATTTTTCCCCTATTCACTAGGGTACTTGGATAAAATAAACAACAAGACAATTACTGGAACATGGACTTCTAACTTTCCCGGGCCCATGGCCCAGCGCCCATGGCCCCGGCCATGCGGGTGTCAAGTTCCCCGCACCGCGGAGCCTCCGCTCTCTGCCGCGCAGCGACAGCGGGACCGGGCGGAGTGGGAAGGGGGTACGGCCATCTCCCCCCGGACCTCAGCCCGCTTTCCAGCTCCTGGGGGCCTTCCATCGGGACACCTACTCCCTGACACAGAGGCAGCCCAGGGAGGGGGATCTTCCAGTCCCCATCCTATCTTCCCCTCCCACGCTCGGTGGGGAGGAAAGCGAAGCAATTCTCAGGCTTCGTGGCCAGTTTTGCTGCTAGAAGCTGGTCAGCAAGGCTGAGGAGAGCGGGCGGGAGCTCCCGTCGAGCTTGGGGGGCTGGCAGTCCCTTACTCTGGGGAGAAGGAGACCAGGGCTACAGCGTCGGAACGGAGCCCGCCTCGGGGGGAGGGCGAAGCCCAGCAAAACCCAGCTCCGCCGAAGTGCATTAGGTGGAGGAAGTCTATCTCTAGCGGGGAGCAGATTGAGTGTATTAAGCTAGCATGAAACCAAAGGTCAGTGCAAATGTATCTTAATAGACTGTCTCAAATGGAGTGTGCCTCCTTTGAAGGCCGCTTGCTATTGCTCTCCTCATTACCATAGCGATCCTAACGTGGCATGCTGATGCACCATAAAACTCACACTTTCAACCCCAAAATCAGGCCCTTTGAACAACCCGAGCTTGATTAGACCTTTCTCCTTTTCTTTCCCCCCTTAAAAACCATTTCCTTGCCTTTAGAAACTCGCCCTCAAATCCCAAATGCATTCTCTGATCCTGGCAGAAAGCAGAAACAAAAGTGAGCTGAGGCGACGGTTCAAGCGGGCCTTTTCTTCCTGACAGTCTTATCCATTTTTATTATGGTCTGGAACAAGTGCCCTGTTCGCGTGGGTTTTGTTTACCGGAAATTAAATGAAAATGATTTAGTTCGCGTCAAACAAAAATATATACTTGTATACACAAGAAAAAGGGCCTGTTAGACGTAAATATTATGTCCTTAATGAAAAGACTGGACGGGCTCCAGACTTCGCCTTTCACTATTTAAGTATGACTTGCCTATTGCCATAGAAATCCTAACTTACCATGAAGATTCACCGTTGTGAAGAAATACTTCTTTGTGCGAGCTTGCTTTGATGTCTAAGGCATAAGACTCAGGCTTTCAGCTGCGTCTGTCTAGATTACCTTGAGAGCAACGGGGTAGACATCTGTAACAAGCAAATGAAAAATTAAAGGTGATTAGCCTGCACATCCAAATACTTCAGTAAATAGAGAAATAAAGAAATAAACAGATCTCAGGACTTGATGGAAACATCCTCCCTACCCGCATCTGGCTTTTGCACTTCTTGATTTCCGTGACACAAGTTTCGGGGGGCTGGAGAGGGGCACAACTCTCCCCTGTTTAGGTTTCTCTTTCACACATTGCTCTCACCTAACTAATTTCCTAAGTATATTCCCGTTAGCGACATGCTGTTGTCACTATTCGTGGTGTTTAAATACAAAAGTTGAATTTGGGCGAATGAAGAAAGGAACTTCGGCTTGGTGCCTTAGGAGAAAAATACGGTGGTATAGCAAGGAAAGCACTGGGCACTGGGGTGGTTTTAGTCACTGACCAGCTATTTATTTTCCTGTAGTTTTTCTGTTTCTCGGTATCAACATACACGTGTTTATGTACGTACGTGTACAGTTGTACACACACAGTAACCCCAGTCACCTGGGTGCGGAGGTGATCTGTCAGACACGAGAGGAGGCGGTTACAGCAGCCTTCTGTCTGCTCTCCGCAAGCCATAGAAACCCTTTCCAGCAGTCTATGCTATTTATTTGCCTATACTATCTGGTACTCTTAAACATCATTAAAGTAATTAAAACGGCACCATTCGGTAGTTTCAAGCTACCCCAGTGGAGAGGTTTGCTTATTTATTTTGGTGTTTGCTTATTTTTTTTACCCCCCTCCCTTTCTCTGAACCAGTGCAGTGAACCCTATAGGTTTGAGACTCTGGGACAGGATGGAGATGCTAAAGCCGCGTTGTGGGAGCGGTTCATTTCTCCTCGGGGCTGTTCGCAGGGCAGAGCCGTGGAGCAGCGGCCCCGGGTCCCCGCGCTGCCGGGGGCTGCCCGGCCCCCGCCCTGGCCCTGACGTCACACAATGGTCTCCCCCCACCCCGTCAGAACCGCCCCCCGGGAGCTTCAGCGCCCACGGTTCAACAGGAGCGCACTCTGGGTGGGGACGGGCATGTTTAGGTATTAGAAGTCATTACCAGTGGGAGCTAAAATGGACAGTCAATCATCGCACCCCCTGGGCCTTTCTTTATTAGCGACTACTGGGTGGGGGGGGGAGGAAATATATATATATGTATTTTTATACAGAAAGAGGGAAAAGTAAGGAGATTCTCGACAGAAACGTCCATCGAACGGGTTAATTAATCAAAAAATTTAATGGATCCATTTTGTACAAATTGGTAACAAATAATAGTTTATATATATATATATTTCTTAAAAAAAACCACACTCACAGAAAATCGTGGGCGAACAGAACAGTGCAGCACACAGTACTGTTGACAAGAGAAAATCTGTACAGAGAAAATCTGTATGAAACCACTGAAGGGAAGGAGAAAGGAAAATGGGAAGAGGAAGGGGAAGGGAAAGGGAAAGGAAGGGAAGGAAAGGGGAAAGGACAGGGATAAGGAAAGAGAATGCAAATCAGTTGGCATGTAAACAGACTGGAGCAAGGCGGTCAGAGTGGGGGTGTGTGGCGCGGCGGGAGGAGGCGGCAGCGCCCGGCCGAGGCGAGCGCAGCCCTCCGGTATGCGTGGTGCTGGGGCCGCAGGCAGGGCCCACCCGTGCGCTCCGCAGCCTCTCTCCCTCCGCTAAGCGCCTCTCGCTGCCGCTCCCGCTCGGCATCCCCGTGCCCGGCGCTCCCCGTGCCGGCCGGGCCGGGCCGGGCCCGCCGCCCCCGGCGCTCCCTAGCAGCGGGGCCGGGGCTCGGTGGGGAGGCGCGGCGGCGGGGAGGCGCCGGGGGGTCCGGGGGGGCCGCGGGGCCCCGCGCCTTGACACACGTACCATTCGCTCAGGTTGGCGGCGGGCTGCGCGGGCGCGGAGGGCTCAGCGTGGGAGCAGGAGGCGGGGGGCTCCCGGCCGGAGTCCGAGGAGGGGGACACCAAGGAGGGCGTGGAGGACTCGTAGCCGGAGCTGGGAGGAGGGGATTTGCAGTGCACTTTCATGTGTTTTCTCAGGGAGCTGGGGTGAGTGTAGGACTTGTCGCAGCCTCTCACTTTGCAGTTGTAGGGCTTGTCGCTGGTGTGGACATGAGAGTGCTTCTTCCTGTCGCTGCTGTTGGCGAAGCGCCTGTCACAGCCCTCGAATTCACATTTGAACGGCTTCTCCCCTGCAGGAGGCAATGGGCGAGCACAGCCATTAGCGGCGGCGGCGGGACCGGGAGCAGCGCATCCCTCACCCCCACAGCCCACAGCCTCCCCGGACCCCTCTCTCCGGCCCTGCCACGGCTCCTCGCCCCGCGGAATCTCCTCTCACTAGCTCTGCCCCTGCCCCGCGGGCCCCGCCGAGCGTTCCCCGGAGCTGCCACTCCGTGCCCACTCGGATGAGCTGCCGGCTCCGCACGCGGAGCGCCCTGCCCGGCCAGCTTCTCCTTTTCTTTCCCCTGGCCTGTGTGTGTGCCATCGTAGGGGTCTGTGCAAAAGACAAAGCTCCGAAACAAGGAAAACTTAGAGGAGAATTGCTCGTTCCGAGCAAACTTTTGCTGTCCCCGCAGACTCGGAAGTCCTGCAGAAAGAGCGGTCAGTGATTTATCCCTTCGAAGGTTTTTACGTTAAATACATTTCTCACAGTCTCCTAGGCACGTGGAAATATTTTTCATAACCTGGCTAGATCATATTTCATCCACTTCATACTTGCACTGATTACAATGCCATGGAAGATCCACATCCCCTTCCTCTCCCCGCTCCCCAGCTTGCTGATTCCATGTGCTAAAGTACAAAATATTTCAAAAAGAAATATCGATTGTAGGGGAAAAACGATAAAGATTCTGAAGAAGGATGACTAGGCCAGAGCACAGCACTGTCGCGAGTGTAGGATTCCCTTTTCCTTTCAACTTACACAGTCACTAAAGGAATTGCAATCGGGATTAAATTGTCTGATCATATAATAAGTGATATTACACATAATAGAAATACAATCGTGTTGCTCGAGTCGTGTGAAAGTTTAACCTCGAATCGTGTGGACCTGGCATGGTAGACAATATTCAGCAGGTTTTTGAGGAAACACGCCACAGCCAGATGAAGGATGAAATGCTGGCGGCATTATTGTCGCTGACAATAGCAAACTGCAAAACCCTGCTTGCCAAGGGGTACCCAGGTCCTGTACTAACCGACTATGAAAATATCTTCCTCATCCGTCAAAAGTCAAAAAATAGCAGGGCGGAGAGGACTCCACAAAAATACATGGCCTAACCTTACCGTGAAGAGCAAACAAAGCAACTGTGTTCACCATCATGGCGTATGTAGCCGAAAAGACTTCCAATATTTGGTTTTGTGTGTTTGTTTTGGTTTGGTTTTTTTAATTTCTTGGGTTGTACGTTTGTGGTTGTCGTTTTTTCCCCCTCTCAATTCGTCATGATTAAATTTAGAAGAGACTCAGCCTACATGGGGCTCGGCTGCGAGCAGAGACAAATAAAGGAAGGCATTCCAAATATTTCACATGAATGCACTTTATGCAAGGTGGGTGGGAAAGGCTCATGGCTCCGCGTTTTAAAGTATGCCCTTTCCTCACTGTAATAGTCAATGAGGAGCACTGACATCCTGCACCGCTAACATTTGCACAGAGGATGGGTAAATACCTGGCGTTGGAGGGAAGGGAGGGAAGAGGTTAAAAATAAGGTCTCTCACAAAACGATGCGGATTCTGTAACCAAATACTGTCGACATACAGCGGTGCATATGTAGAGGCACACGCTCGCCTATAATCTAATTAGAGTTTCACGTAAGGAAATAATTTGACCTTCAGCATCTAAGTTGAGACAACAAATCAAGGATATTAGTGTAGTACAAGCAAGCAGTAAGTTAGGAGACCCCAGGGAAAGCCATCCTCATAAGCACTCCGCTTGTGCAAAGTGAGTTCCATTCAGGTAAAAGCAGGCTGCACCGCACTGCGCTTTGCCGAGTTGAAAAATGTTCAACTTCTCTTAACCCCCTGGAAGAGCCACTGAAAGGTCCGTCCGTGCAGCCGGGTTTCAAGTGGGAAGAGGGCAGCATTTTCTCAGCTGCCCGGGTTGCATTCCCTGAACGCCTCAGTAAAGAGGAGCCATCCGAGCCGTTTGCAAGTATTCCTTTCGCGAGAGCAGGTTTCCTCACGCGGAAATCCCTGCCCGGCAGGGAGAGGACACTGCACCGGTCCCGGCTGCCGCAGCCCGGGCACGGAGCCGCAGCCACGCACAAAGTTCCGCGGGCGATGGAGACTCAACCGCCATTTTACCCGCACACTTGTAGCTGGGCAAAAGTGTTCAGTGAAATTCAGCTTGGAATTTGTGGCATAATCCCCCGTCTCCGGGAGTGGATTAAGGTATTTACCAACTTCTCCGGGTGAGTGGTGGTGGGGGGAAGCCGGAGCTGGCGGCTCCCGGGCAGCGGGCGAGGCGAGGGGGCGGCGGGGGCCGCAGGGAGGGAGCGGGGCTCCGTCCCACGCCTCGCACTATTGTTCCTGGCCCTCAGGGAAGGCGGTGAAGTGATCCCAGCCCGTCCTACTCGTCCTGTTGCCGCCGTCTTAACGGCCTTATCCTCCAACCTGGAAAACTCGAGCACCGCCAGATATCCCTCTGCCTGCTCCCCAGCCTCGGAGAAATCAGAAGTCATTAATATTTAAGGAGGCAATAATTTTCCTGTTGAATCTAGAACTGTCTTCATGAATAATTCGTAGTGAGTTCTATTAGGGTTTCAGAAACATTGCGTTTTTGACAACTTCTGGGTGTTTAATAGAAACGGTGGAACCATAAAGGCCCTGCAGGAGTTTGCACAATACAGCAATTAATCACCGAGAAAGTTAAAGCCAAAAGTACAGACCCGCCGAATGGTGTTTAATAAACGCAAATCTCCACTCTCGCGTTCGCCCTGAACCTGCATCTCCGATGTAGGTCAGTTTTCCCAAGAATTTAACCATTTTCTGCTTCAGAGACTTCAAACAGTGAGGCCGTTAAAGAGCAGTAAAAGTTTGTTTACTTAAGAAAAACACTGTCATTAAGAGATGAGCTCTCCCGGTTAATGGCTGTACCTGTGCTGATCCAACAAGGAACTGGCTAGGATACAAGTTACGTGACCCGGGGATACCCCTTTTTCGAGGAAAAAGGGGGCCAAGAAAGCAGCCGAGGAACACAACTACGCTGTCGTCCACCTCCTCCCCCCCCACCCCCCCGCCCCGCACACAGACTTACTCCTCATAGAGCGATGGAAAAATAATGAGGTGACGAGTGACGGTCGCTGTAAAATCTCAGTGCTATGTTTAGACGATAGCGATACGAAATTAGTGTATGTTCTGCATATTATATCATGTCGCGCTCTATCATAAAAAATGCAACTCCTGGAAGGTCAAACCCTGCACCAAGCATGGGGGAAGGGGAGTTTTATGAACTGGAAGGCGAAAAAAATCGTTTGGCTGTAAGCAGATCTTACAATAGGATTATGTAGTTTCCCTCGCAGTGCATAAGGCTGTACAGAAGGGGGTGGGAGGTGGAAAACCCTACACTGGAACAGATTAAATTTTCCAAAAAGGGCTTATTTCTTATCTTCTTCTTTAGAGAGGAAAAAAAAAAAAAAAAAAAAAAAAAAAAAAAAAAAAAAAGGACAAGCCAGCGCTATAGACTACAAACACCGGCTGCTAAACTAATTAATACAACTTCACAAGCTGCTCCTGGAAGTGTGAAAACTTTCTACGTGCAATTTCATTAATTATAAATGCTTTCCTGGCCGGAAGAGTTCAAACGTAGTTTTGCAAGATCGTCCATCGTGTTACTTTATTTTCTGTTAACTAGAACTAACAGATGTTTCTGACACATGTCCCAATTTCACTTAACAGATCTGCAAATGACATTTCAGAATGTACAGGCCGAAACAATACAAGGGTTTCTTTTCTTTCTTTTCTTTTTCCCCCCCTTCACGAGAGTCAGAAATTGCAGCTCCCCATATTTGCGAATGCAGAAAGTCGTTGGAAGGCAATGCTCATTAAAAATGTCAGTGTTATTCAGATCAAACATTTGAAACTCCCTCTGCCCAAAACAGAACTGTTGAACGAAAAGGTCGCAGCTGTGTTATTCTCACAATGTTCGAGCAGCAGCATCTCAGAGACATCAGTCAAAACTGACTAGACAAGTTGTAACTTCCATTGTTCACTTTTAATTTGTGAGCTTGCACAATGATTTCATTTTTTCCCCCCGACTACTTTAAATCGGAAAAAAAAAAAATCCTCGCCAGTGTGAATTAGAAGAAACAGTAGCTATATCATTCGATATTTACCCAGATTTATCCATATAAACATTACAGCAGCCTCTCCGCACAACCAGAAAAAATTACAGACGAGAATTCTGAGATTTGCTCTTGCTTTCCCCTTCCCCCCCCCTTTCCTCCCCTTCTCCAAACGGTAAAGAAGCAAACAAATCTGAGAATTTATTTTCCAGAAGTACTTGGCGTGCATTCAATAACAACTCAAAGGATAAATTAAAAAAAAAAAAAAAAAAAAAAAAACAGTACGCTGAATAACAGAGAGAAAAGAGTAAAGAGAGCTTTACATACTGACCTGTATGAGTTCTTTTGTGTATTTTGAGATTCTCTGATCTGGCAAACACTTTGCCACAGCCTGGGAAAGGGCAAGGGAAAGGTTTTTCACCTGTGTGGACTCTGATGTGATTTACAAGTTTATATTTGGCCTTGAAAGGTTTCCCTTCTCTCGGACACTCTTCCCAGAAACATATGTGATTGGACTGCTCGGGTCCTCCAACGTGCTCCACCGTGACATGAGTCACCAGCTCGTGCATCGTGCTGAAAGTTTTCGAGCATAATTTTTTGGGAGTCTGGTCCAACTCAATCCACTTACAGATGAGCTCCTGTTTGATGGGCTGCCTCATGTAACGAAAGAAGGCACCCGGGCCGTGGTGTGGAGCCAGGTTCACGTTCAGATTCATACCACCGTAGTTATGAAGCGAAGAAGCAGCAAAATGATCTGTCCTGGAGGCTGGTACTTGAGTGAAATGTTCAGACCTGGCGTACATTTCTCCAGGTAACCCCAGTCTGAGCTGTCCGTTTAGATGGCCACCTGGAGCTGCATGGGGAGGCTGCTCATGGAGTCCAGTGAACAGAGAGGGATTCCCAGCTTCTGAGTGGTGGTGGTGGTGACCATGGTGTCCGGGGTAGCTACCTGTTGTTGAGACAAACAGTCCGTGGTGAGAACTTGCAGCGGGGTGCTGCTCGGTCAGCCCTGGCATGAGTGGGGCCGGCAGGTCTCTGCGTATGAAGAAGTCCCTACCTGCTGCCAGAGCCTGGGCTGAGTGAGAGACGGGGTAAGGGGCTGCTGGTGACTGCGCCGGGCCAAACGCTGCCGTTTGACTACAGACCACCTCGGCTTGGCCTGCCATATGATGATGATGATGATGATGATGATGGTGGTGGTGGTGGTGGAGCTGGTGGTGGGGATGAGGGGCAGGGCTGATCTTAAGGGCCGCGGGGTGATGCTGAGGAGGAGGATGAGGAAGAGGATGGTGGCGGTGCCCCATGTGTTCTGGCCGGAGCTGCTGCGGCCCGAGGCGGGACTCGGCGGCGTGTTCCCCCGGCTGCGTGGGCGCCGTGGTGTGGGGATGCCCGGCGACACCCTGGAAGCCTGTCATGCTCTGAGGGGGGCGGTGATGGTGGCGAGGAGCCCCCGCCAAGTCTACTAATCTGAGCGCCGTGTTCCGCCTGGAGAGAGCAGCAGGGTCCATCACCGGGATCCCCAGAGCATCCACGCTCATTAGCTTCTAACGCTAAAAAGTCACCTGACAGCGGGAGGAGAGATACACAGGCCAGCGGAGAGGGGGGAGGTGGAGCGGGGGAAACAACTTTCTTTTTTTTTTTTTTTCTTTGTTTTTTTTTTTTTCCTCCTTTCTCCCAAAATAAAAAGTTTCCCGGTGCCGCTGCCCTGGCGGCGGGACGCACGGGCGGCTGTGCCAGCGGGTGGGCTCGGGGGCCGGCGGGAGGCTTTGGCGGCGGCCAGGGAGGTCCCGCGGCGCGGCCCGTCCAGCCCGGGGCCGGGGCGGCCCTCACGGCGCGGCGGGACCGGACGGGCCGCGCTCCGGCCGCGCCGCTGCCCCGCCGGCCACACAATCGCCGCGCCCGCCCATTGGCTGCCGCCGCGGTGACGTCACCGTGACAGGTCCCGCCGCCGCCTGAAACGGAGATCGCCGGTGCCGCGGGGGGCGCGCGCGGGGACGGGCCGCGCATGCGCCGCCGCACCAACCCTGCCCCCGATGCCTCCTCGGCCCGGCCCGGTCTCTGCCCGGGACCGGGCACCGCTGGGCTTCCCCCTGCGCCCGGGAAAAAAAGCCTCGGCGGGAGTGGAGGGCATCACCCTGGCCTGCCCCTCGCCTCTGTCCGTGCCCGCTGCCTGCCCCGAGACAACGGGCAGCCGCGGGGTTCTCCTCTAGGGGAGCGAACGGTCCCCGCCGCCCGGCCAGAGCAGCGGTGGTCGGAGCGGTCCCGGTGCCGGTCCTGCCGGCGGGTCCTCGCACTTGTTGCCAGCGCGGGGAGAGGGTCCTTACCCGGCAGAAGCTGCGGCCGGAGCCGCACCGGCCGCTCGCTGGCCAGGCGTGCTCGGCCCGGGTCTGGGGATACCGCCCCGGTGCCAACGCCTGGACAAAGGATCCCCGAGAGACTCCCCATCCCCTTTCCCCTCCTCTGACAAGTTTTAGCAGTTATCTGATTACTGGCCGCCGGAGCAGTGCGAGAAATCGTGATGTTTAGGCTGAATCTGAATGTTTAACCCAGAAGAGGGAGTCTCTCCCTCTCTCACTTTTTCTCACACACAGTTACAGGATAGTTCAATGTAAAATCCCCGTCATTGGCTTGAAGGAAAAGCATTGCCAAATATTCATAACGAACTTTGTTCTGATGATTCTCACCTGAAGCAAATAACATGGTCTGCAGGGTTTGCGTGCTAGTAGTGGAAGTGTAAGTTTGGGTTTCAGCTGGACACTGAGGCCTTACAGGTTTAGAAAAGCTTAGGGCTTCAGCACAGGAGGAAGTATCTGCTTAAGTTTTTAAGAAGGGGATTGTGAACTTAAAAAAAGTAAATTAAACATGGGGAAAGATTCCTCTGCTCCAAGAAAGAAAAACAAATCTTCAAATATCTGCCCATTGTATTACCACAGTACTTGGATCCTGACACAAAACGGCTCCACCAATAACCTCACAGTCTTATGAAATACAGCAATGCTTAATTCCCTACCCATCCTGTCAAATTCTCATCATTATAATACATTGACTCGCTGTTAATTTGCCAGTGGATTCTTTCCCAGATGTGCGTCAGGTAAAGCTCCCAGAGTAGAATTTTGCATTTCCATAAGAATTTAATAGTGTTGGGGATCAATAGGCTTTATGTGAAGTAGTAAAACAAGAAACTATTTGGCAATGTCAACCCAGCTACTTTCATAACACAAGCTACAAGCCAACGACTGGAAACCATAAGATTAAAGTTTAGGACATACATAAGCACATAGGAGACATCTTTGTCACAGCTTCGCATATTCTGGGTTGGCTGCAATTACATATTTTGTCTCTGCTTGCATTTACCATATTTGTGTTGTAAAACTAGGCTGATATTCAGGTAGCTAGCTATAGATACATCCTTGCACGCATCTTTCTGAGTGGAGATGATGAAAAGTGACAAATGATGCAATTAGCTCCCCAACCTTACATAACATGTTTACGCAGGCATTTTACACCACACACCATCCTCACAATATCTCAACTTTCAAGTCTACTTGCTGTACGAAATGGATTTGACAGTCCTATTCATGACCATCTCAATAGGAGTGCACAGAAGAGACAAACGTTAGGAAGTATGAATCTGTTACTTACAAATGTACTGAGACTGTGAATCCCAAATAAAGCTGCTTTCCTCATACCTCCTTAAAACACTGCATCTCTACATACTTGTTATCCATCAATTCTGACACTTCTTAGTCAAGGGAGAAAACATTTGAAAGAGTTCCCCAGTTTAAAAAGATGTCATAACAATTTTGCCCTAAGTTCATTTCAAATATTGTGATGATTTCTTGCCAGACACTCATGGCTCTCAGCTTGCCCCTCACTCAGGGCTGTCTCTCGCATCCTTTTCCAGGCGGCGTAGGAGAACCTGGCCCTCGGTGTCCCTCACTGTTAGGTGAGGTTGATGTGAGCCCCGGTTGCGTGCGTGGGGGGAGCGGGCGGAGGCGGGCGGGGTCCGCCACATGACTGCGGGGAGGCGGAGAAACGGGCAAGAGAAGGAAAGCGGGCCCAGACCCGGACGGACTCCACTCATCTTCCACAATGTTTTGAAAACTTGAACCCCTGTCTGTGCAGCCCTTTGGCAGTTCGAGCCCATACTCGAGAGGTGACGGAGGTCTCCTGTTTCTTGGCAGCGTCCTGAGCCCTGATTGACCAGACACGCCGGGCTCTCGGCAAACTCTCAAGTGTGTCGACATCGGCTTCTGCATGGCCAACAGACTGGCAGCTTGATCCTGAGTACAAATTTTCCTATGGCTGCTGTGTATCCGCGACCCCATCCTCAGCCCCAGGCCCCAAAGCTAGCCCGAGCTGGAGGGTGGCTCTCAAGAGGTGACATTTTGTAAAGACGAGTCACTAGCATTTCTCTGGCCCCCAACCCTCTCTCGTGCAAGAAGGTCGGGGCTGTGCCCTGAGTGAGGGGCTGAACTGTCCCCCCGGCTCTCCGCTCTGCCATGTGGGGCCCAGAGCTCCGCCTGCCCAGCTCGGGGTGGGCGGCCCGCGGGGGCAGCCCCAACCCTCCGGCCTCTGCCCGAGAGCATCCCCAACCCTCCGGCCTCTGCCCGAGGGCCTGTTGCCGAGGCCTGCGGCATGGAACCGGCTCTTTGTGGGGTGGGAACAACCCCGGCTGCTCATCACCTTTACCTTAGCCTTGGTTTTTACGGCAGTAATCTACCTAAACATTAAGATGCTTGTCGGTATTTCTAATATTGCCTCGAAAACACAGCTCCCTTTATAACCGTGCTCAGCTCAAGGCACAGCTCCTGCCCTCGGGAAGCGTTGGGGAGAGATAAATTTGACCTTCATCTACCCCGTGTTCTCCCACTTCCACCTCTACGGAAACTTCCCGACAAGCCAGCTACAAAATATCTAGCCGATGCCCGAGAACTGGGCCAGGATGACCTGAACGTTCCAGACAAGCTTCAGGGGTTACTTTTTTAGGCTTCAAATCCCGAACGAGAGGAGGGGAACAGATTAGTCTGAAAACCCCTCATCTTTACTGTGAGAAAAAGAAAAAACGCGAGGAGTAGAAACAGAAAGGACCAAGAAAGTCACCCTGTGCAATTTCTTATCTCTCAAAGTCGCTTAGGCAGGGAGGGATGAGGGAAGCAGACACAGAACCTGAGCCCAAGTCCCTGCCTGCCCCGGCAGAAGGCACTGCTGGTTAGGAAGAGGTGGCTCGAGAAAGCCTTTCAGCAATCCCAGCTTCACCTCAGGGAGGAGAGGGTACCGAGTAGCGCCGGAGCACACTCTGCCTTTGTTTTTTTTTCCCTCGCCCCATATCCACTTACGGGGACTTCTTTATTTCAAGGTTCCCGAACAATGGGAAATCAGCTACCAGACAAGCAACGGTTTGTCTCTCACATTTTGTGACCTAGAGCTACCCTAGGACAAGCAAATCATATGCTTATTTTAAATAGAATATTTCATTCAGGACCTCAAGATTAAGGTATTCCTGTCAGATAAGCTGTCAGTCACTAACTACTTAGACACCACATTGTGGAAGCCTGGTATCCCTGGTAAAGATGATACATATCATGTAAACCCCATCAACAAGATCAAAGTCTTCTTCTTTAATAGGATCCAATACATGTCAAACCTCATTCCAATCAAATCGTCCGTAAATGAATTCAAGATGAATATGTCATAGAATAATGTGACAGTGCAATCACATGGGGTCAGGGGTTGTTGTTTCAATGAGAGAGTCGTCAAATATTAATTCTAGAACCTCCAAATGAATAGGCATTGAGCAGGATTAGGCAGCTGCTAGTGGGGAGTTCTGTCGCTGATTTGTGTTTATGCAAGTACGTTAAACACTAAGCTGAAAAAAAATGCAGTCTCCTTTGAACTGTAAAAAGGACATATTTTAACTTACTTGACTTTTCCAGGATGTTTCTGTAAAGTCGTTTTCTTTTCCTCATTACAAGGGGAGTCTTGTGCCTCATTTCCTGACTTTGTTCCTGTTTGAGGAGAGAGGTAGAAAGTTAAGAGCAAAACCATTTGTGTGATATGAAATGAGTAAGGCACTCTATATGTTGGGCATCACAGATTCAGAAAGGAAAGGGGAAAAAACCAAAATCAAACAAAAAAGAACAAACCCAAAAAAACCCAATCCATAAAACCAAACCAAAACACAAATTAGGCAATGAGAGAAGCTTTCTCTGAGGGGAAACTGGAGGCTGTCTCCCCAGCAAAGCAGCACATGTTTTATGGAGTCATGAAGTTTCCATGGCTGATTTAGGGGGAAAAAAAATATGAAAGGACATCTTTTCAGTTCTCCTTTGATCTGACATTCACCTTCTGGCAGGCTATTGTAAGGCAAGTTTTTACCCACTCGGCTATATTGTTTACAGATCCTTCCGTCCCGAAATTAAATTCCGGACTCTCTGCGAGCCTCCAACACAAGTTGTTGTCTCAGCAAGGATTAGTAAAGTACCACCCTGGCACTTCTCCCTGCCTATAATTTTCAGCTTGCTCTTTGCTCTCTGTAAGGCAGAGCCCTGCCACTGCTACAGGCAGAACTTTGCACAGCTTGTTTTGAGCGGCAGAAATAGCTCTGAGAGCAGATCTGGGGCTGGATGCAGTGTCTGAGTCTGAATTTTTGCAGATATCTTTGAAATTCTCAGGATTTTGTTTGGTTTTTAATACAGAAAAGCACACTAGAATCTGGAATCAGTTACTTAAAATGACATTATTATTATGATTATGATTAGTAATAATAATAGTAATAGTAATAGTAATATTATTACCCTTGCTACTATTATTTTAGAGACTCCAGAACTAGTAAGCAAAAATAAATCTGTACTAACACAAACACTTGATGATATTAATTACGAAACTTCATCATCGTATCACAGTCATAATCTTTCATAAATAATTTGATGTCCTCAATATTTTCACTTCTGTGATGAAAATTACTGCCAAAACTTTAGGAATCCCTTAGGAATTGAAATTCCTAGTCAATTTCCATTCATCCTCGCACTTTTCTCAAGTCAGAGCAGCCAACACTGCCCCGCTAGTGAGAGGTTTGCAGGAGTTATGCTTTATTGGTTAGGATGGGAGGCTGGAGGACTGCTCAGTTCCCAAGTGCTCGCCAAGACTTGTTGAAACTGGACAAAAAAAAAAATCGCTGCATTTAATATTTCGAATGGTTACCAGATGACAAAAAGGAAGGCAAAACAGTTCTGCATTTCAGAGTAAATATTGGCTAAAACTCTGGCTCGACCTCGCACGCTTTTCTCATCTGCACTGTACCGTCGGTGGAGCAGGAGGGTGAGGATATCCCCTTGCCTAAACTGTTGGGATGTCGGGCGCTACTGTGGGGTACCAGTTCCCCCTCGGTGTCGCGCTGGGGCTGCGATGGGACCCATCCCGCCTCCCTTCCCTAAACGCTCTCTCCCGCACCGGGTGGAAGGTGCGCCGGGGCCGGGGCAGCCGCCACCCCGCGGGATCCCGGCGGCCCCGGGCGGGATTGCGAGGCAGAGCGAGTGGGCGGCAGTAGCGATGGCGTGTGCCCCGCCGCCACCGGCTTGTCACGCAACCTGTACTTTCCGCGGCCGCGCAGGGCGGAGGGAGCGTTCCCCAGGAAGGACTCGGTGCAGAAATAAAGTTCCTCGTCTCCGTGTGGAGAGAGCCCCGGGACAAGCCCGACCAACTGGCTGGACTCCCCGGAGCTGAGGGATCGTGCGTGACAAAGAAGTGACAGGAAAGGGGACGGCGAGAAGCCAGTCCCTATCGGTCGGCGCTGTGCCGGTGCCCTGGACTGGCACGCTGAGTTGGGCTCGGGTCAGAGGTCACCTTCGGATGTATCGCTCCGGGCAGGGATTTGGAAGCTTTCGCCCTTCCCCAGCCGCCTTCAGACACGGGGCGGCCCCTCGGGGCCGGGACCAGGGTCGCAGCCCCTCCCCGGGCTCTGGGCCAGGTAGGAGGCAGCACCCAGTCCCGTGAGCAGCGCCCCCGGCTCTGCCTGCGGGGGGGCGGGGAGAGGCCGGAGGGGGCCGGCCGAGCTCCCGGGCTCCGTCCCTCCCGCACCCGCCTATAAAGAAGGGCTTGCGGTGCCGGAGCGCCGGGTCCCCGGAGCGCCCCCGTGGCACCGGGCGCGGCAGTGGGCGAGGTTCTGGGCGGGGAGCGCGTCCCAGGGACGCCTCCCCGCGGGGCTCGCCATTGTCAGCGCTCGTCCGCCTCTGCACGCCGCCCCGGGTTCCCGGCACTGCCTGGGCAGCCCCAGGACCCGTCCGGTCCCGGTGCTTGCCCGTCCGAAGAGATCCCGGCAGCTGTCGGGGTCGGGAGAGCCTCAGCCCCGCTCTGCGCACCCCGCTGCCCCGTTCCACGGACCTCCGCCGCTCTACATTGCGCAGACCTCCAGGCCGAACCTCCCTATGCGTTTAGGGGGGTGGGCGCGGCTCTCAGAGTCCGACAGAAGGTGTCGAACTCCCCCTTCGGTGCTTCCCGGGCTCCTGGCCCTCCGCCCGCCCCCGCCCGCCGAGGTGCCTCTGGGACCCTGCCCCACGTGGGCGAGGGGCAGCCGAGGCGCTGCCCCCCTGCACCGCAAGGTTCCAGCCCTTCTTCCCGGGGTGGCCAAGCCTCCTCCCGACGACCCCCCCACGACGACAGGGAGCTCTCGCCCAGCCCTTGGGGCAGGCGCTGGGGGCTAGGCAGCTGCCCGGGCTGCACAGACAACCCCTATACCCAGACACTTACCCCTGCGACCTGTTGAAGGTTTCCCCTCATTTCTGAACTGGCAAAAATAAAAGTGGGGGTGGAGGGGAAGGGAAAAGAAAGAAAGAATGAAAGAAGAAAACAATACCCCCCGCCCCCCCAAGAACCCACCACCTCTTTGGCGCTTCCATCGAGGCGGTCATCCTTCATTTCTTCTTTTCTTGCTTTCTGGAAGCAGTTAGGGAATGTATGATGAAGCAGAAATGAGCCGTCAGGATGATATTTTAATGGCTTATATGTCACGTTGGTGCATGTGGCTTTGAACTGGAGCAGCTTTCGTTTCCTGCAGAGAGCGCACCGCAAATCCCACTTGATAACTTCTACAACCCACAACATTTTTTTTTTTTACATTCACTCTTACACTGTATATTTAGATACGCTTCCTAAAAATACCTTCTCGTCTGCCTTCTCGTATATTTTGCACCGATCTGAAATGATCACTGGTTTCCCCTTGCACTGGGAGGCAGGCTAGCACTGAACTACCCAACTTTCTAGCTCTCCGAATGCCATCGTCCAGCACAGTTCACAGTAATGCTGACAACTCTGTCCTTCGCTTAATTTTAGCTCCAAATACAGAAAGTAGTGCAACACCCGCCTTAAGACTATGTCCACACCCAGGCGCTCCCTAGAGCGGGTATACCTGTTGCTATAAGCTATTGCAATTCCATCAAATAGATTTCGTAGAATAAAAGCAAACGTGTAGATTCAGCTCATCATTATTCTAAGAAAAACAAACCCAAACCCCATCAAACCCTGTAAAGCCTCCCAAGATCCAAGGAAAATTACATAATAGATCTGCTCTGAAAGCTATCTCCATGCACCGAGCACAGGCACACTGCGTCTGCAGATAAACTGCAGTGAAACATTCCATCAAGGCTTATCAAAGTTTATTTATTGTCGTTGATGTTTGTTTGCCTGTTTTCTAGCCGCAATGGCCATTTTATACCTCTCAAAATGAGGCAGTTCTCACCCGAGAAGGGTTCTCGCAGCAGCGCTGGTAGTCCGACTCTTCAGTACCTGCGCTGCGGATTGCTTACCAGCGGCTTTAATTAGAGAGGATGAGTTTAAAGTTTCTTTGTTTGGTACTAGGAATTGGAGGGGCTCGGATTGAGCTGCGAAGGAGGCAAGTGAAGGGCTGAACAAAGGCGAAATGTATGGAGTCTGACTCTTAGCGAGCTTTTGGTGTTTTCGTTACTAGAAAATAATTAGAGCTAATGAATATGCAGGCGACCGAGTAAATAAATAATTTGTCAGTTTTATATATGTACACACATGGGCTCATACGTAAGTGTATCTATACATACACACACAAAGACTGTCTGTATTTTAAAGTTTCTTGAGACCTTTTTTTTTTTTTTTTTTAAGGAGCCGAAGCATCGTTTAAAATATTGTACAAATGTTGCTTAGCTTAATTGATTAAGCCACAAAGGTTTTCTGCTTTTAAATACCATACTTATACCTTTCAACAATCATTTTAATATATAGTCAATGGCTCTTTGTAGCGGGAACAAAAAAGAACTATCCACAGTTTTTCAATAGACTTTGAGCTGGGGAAAGACAGGTTAATCGAGGGTTGCATCTAGAAAACAACCAAGTGTTGTATGTTTGCACTGAATCCAAATGTCTGCATTTTTCTAACTAAATCAAAGGGAGTGTTATTTCTTTTTCTGCTCACTCATCTGAAGGTAAGTAAATTTTCTCTGGCGATCAAAAGCCTGGTCAGCAACAAAGACACCGCCTGCTTTTTCCACCGTCCTGGTGTGGCAAGTTGAGGAATTTCAATAACTGTGACAAGGGTGACTGATTTGTGAACTAGAAAAGGTTTGAATGTCAGAAAATTTACATTGCTCCTATCGAGGATTTAAAATAAATTTTTCAAAAAAAAAAAAAAAAAGAGCGAGCGAGAGAAAAGTAATCGTGAGTTACATGCAGTAGGAAGACAAATAATGTAGACTTGGAAAATTTACAGTTTTACCTGAATGAGAGAGACTCCGTAAAAGAGAGAGCGAGCGACAGCGAGAGAAAATGAGAGCGAGAAGGGGAGAGAAAGAAAATAACAAAAAAGGAGGCGAACCAACAACAACAAAATTAGAAAGTTAAGAGTGCTCACCCACCTGCGTTTTGATGGGTGCAGAAAACAAGATTTATTTCAGAAACCTGATGGAGGGATAGAGTCAGCTACACAGAGAAATCACGTCTGGTGTTAAAAAATAAAATCAAGTGCACCCAGCACCTACTCTCGGAGAGCTTCAGTTTTAAATAAGAAGAAAACACCTTCAAAAGACGCGAATCCCTATAGGGCTTCTCTTTCCAAAGCCTAAAAAGTTGCTCAATGATCTTAAAAATTCAGGATCAGCACGAAATCATCATAATCATCATTACCAGAATGCTGGAGACAGAGGGACAGAGAGAGGGAAAGCGGGGGACAAAATAACCCTAATAATAATAGAAGATTTTTTTTTTT